CAGGCGTGCGCCACGACGCCTGGCTTCTGTTGCCCCTTCTAACCGCAGTGGGTGCACACTGCTTTCTAAAGCCCTGGCTTTGGTAACTATATATGGTCAGAGAGGTCATAGGCAGTATGTTCACTAATGGGAGATTTATGGTAACTAGATGTTCCATAACGAATGAACAATGAGAAAATTCCCCTTTTGACAGCAAAATTAAAAACGTGTCACTGTCTTGAGGTTAAAGGTTGTGGAAATAGTTGGAGTTTAAGTAGAATTGAACATGGCAGCTCATGGCAAGGACCCGGCTTTAGGATCTGGCTTGAGAAGCCCCGCCCCACTTGGCTCTGATCTGGACCTGTGGTGTTTTGCAGACTAACCCTAGCCTTGGTGTCCTCAAGGCACTGCGGTAATAGTGTTTTTAAACTTCTCTAATGTCCTTACCAGTCACTTCTGGGACGTGCGGCTTCTGATTTCAGCTGTAATCTCACCCGAGCCCGAGCCCAGGCTCCGCAGCTTGTACTTGTCTGTTTTCACGCGGGTCACACAGGGCCGCTGCTGACAGACGGTCAGAGCATCTGGGCAAACCTGCCCCTGGGCTGAGTCTCGGGTGCTCTCTGCTCCCACCCCTAGGTCCTGCGCTTCCAGGGAGAATGAGAGACGCCACTGGCCCGGCCGCCCTGCTGCCACATGGGTCTGTCCTCAAGGCCTCTATTGACCCTGCCGGCCTCACTCAGCCTGGGTCCTGCGGGACCGGAAGTGTCCTCCGGCTGGTGCTGGTGGGAGGCTGCTTGCCCCTGCTCAGCCTAAGGGCTCACACGGAGCTCTCGGTGAAGCTGCTCTGGCTCTGCTCTCTTCTTTCTTCTCTCAGAGCCCCTCCTGGAGGCTAACGGGACGGCAGAGGAGGGCAGTGCTGGGCCTGGTCATCCGGGTGATACAGTTCTCTTAGGCTGCATAGTGAACGATTGAAATTTGGCTCGACTGCTAACATTTTGAGCTCTGTAGTTATTCTGGTTGCTCTGAGGTAACGCTGTAAACAGGGATCCCCACTTTGTAGTGGAAAATGAAACATTCTTCCAACAGTGACTGGGAAATCTGCAGTCCTGGAGACTAGTAGCGGGCACAGGCTGTCTGTCAGGGCGCTCGGAGGGATGGCAGGGTTGGGAGGGCAGGAGGCCGACTGCAGAACTGGACTGAGTGAGGGGGCTTTGGAGTGCCCGTTCTTAGGGTGGCAGCAGTGTCCCCTGGGGCCCTGTTAGAAATGCCCATTCTGGGCCCTTGCCTCAGACCAATGGAGGGAGAAACTTAGGGTGGGGAGAAGATCTAGGAGCTACAGAGGACTCAAGTCTGATAGCTCCTGATCCAGAGGAAAATGAAACGTGGTTCGTGTGAGCATGTTCTGTTAAAAACACAGTTACGGCAAGCATTCTTTAAAAATCATGCAAGGTGTGATAAAAAATATGGTGTCTTCATATTTTAAAAATTTCTTGTAGTGAAAGACACATTGTCATGAGTCCCCCTCAAAATACTCAAAATACTCACCCTCGCTTCAAACACACTTATCCCATCATTCCTGCCACTTCCTGAAGCAGCTCTGGAAGTGCTCTTTTGGGAGTGTCATTAGTTCTACTGTCATGCGGCCTTGACGTCCTCAGTTGATTACAGGTGTGTCCCTTTCATGGTCATTTTGACTTTGGGGAAGAGCCAGAAGCAAGTGAATAAGGCAGGTGAGGGCACGCTGCACTGTTTTCGTGAGCCTGCTTTCCTGCTGGAGGATGCTCGGCAGTTGCATTTACTGTAGTTTTTATCATGCCTCAGGAACACACTCAGGAAAGAGGACTCCAGAACTGCTTCAGAAAGCAGCAGGGAGGATAGGATGGTGTGTGTGAAGTGAGGCGAGTGTTCTGAGGGGGCTCACTGGCCATGTGTCTTTTACTATAATAAATTTTTAAAAATTAAAAAAATTCACCATATTTTTCCATCACCCTGGTATGTTTTTAACAGTAAATACACAGATGAAATATTTATAAAGTATGCCACACATCTGGCTTTTCCCTCCCGGGCTGAAGTGTCTGGGACACCGTGATACCACTGCCAGAACTGGGTACCGAAGTGGGTGAAAAAGAGGAAAATTCTTGTCTCCGTGTCATCCAGTTTGTTACTCTTGATATGTTGTTTTCTTGCCATTATTATGGAAGCGATTATCAAGCATTCCCATATAGGTATTTTTTCATTTACTTGTCATTGCAAACAAAAAGTATCAAATTTGGGTAGAAATTTATTTTACTGTTTGCCGTGAACTGAGCTAAATTTATTTTTCTTTTAACGTTCCATTTCCCTTCTGTGTCCCTGGCGGAGTGTTAATAGCATGTCTAAACTAATTGCACTCCTGATGGTCTAGTTCTATTCACTGTCATTTTTGGCAGTAAAACTCTGAGTTTGGCATCCTCTCACACTGACACAGCCATGCTAAATTAGCTGAGAAGAAGCTCAGAATAACTAGGCAGCATAACTCCAAAAATACCATCCAGGATCTTCCAGGAGATTAAGCATTCTGCTTGGGTTTTGCATCCGTTCCGGGGAAAGCACGTTCGGATGACCTCTCCCCACCATTCTGGTCTCGCTGGCGGTGGAGCTTGCTCTCAGTGTGTGCGTAATGTACCCGGAAGGGCTCCGGGGGCCGCAGATGACAGGACAGGAACCCAGCCTGAACTGATCTTATCAAAGACAGAATGTATTACCGCTCTTAAGTGAAAAGACCAAGAGGAATCTCACTTCAGGCCTGGCTGGCTTTAAGGGCTCGAATTGTGTTGTATGAGACAGTTTCTAAAATGGCTCTTGATGACCTTTGCCTCCTGCTACTCACATCTGTGTAATTTTCTTCCCCTGAGCGTAATTGGACCTAGGGATCTGCTTCTGACAGAGTTCAGCAGAGATGAAGGAATACCATTTCCAAGGCCGGGTTGCAGACGGGCTTTGCTTGCCTGTGCGCACTGTTTCAGGAACCCTGTCCTCTGGGAGCAGGCCGTCTGGTTGGGCAAGGCCCTGCGGGGAGGCCCGGGTGGTGAGAGACTGATGTCTGTGGCCAAAGCCTGCCAGACTCCGCGGGCCTGACCGTGGACCTGTGAGTGAGCCCAGCGGGTTCCTCTGAGGCTCTGCGAGCATGATTTGGAGACGACTGTAGTCCTCCCAACACCTGGCCTGCAGCCCCGAGAGAGCGCCTGTCCCTGCCCCACAGCAAGGCCACCTCATAAGCATTAGTTTCAGTTTGTTTGGGGGTAATTCTTTACACAGCATCAGGTGTCAGGACTGACGTCACCCTCACTAGACACTCCTCGGCCCACGTGGTGCCTTCCTCTCACGCCCTTGCTGACCGGCAGGCTGTCCTCAGGAGGGGCAGAAAGGCAGCAGGCGACTGCAGGCCCCAGGCCCAGCTTCCTCAGAGTCACAGCGCTCTCCTTGGGAAGAGATAAAGAAAAATTCCTGGCGTTGAGTCTTGTGAGGTGGAGTTCGGTCTCCTCCTGCTGGAACCATTAGCTTTAATATTTCTTGTGCGGCTCCCTCTGGTGGTTTGGGAATTTGTGGAAACTCAGAGAATTCAAGGACAAGCTCCGCAGGCTCCCCGCTTAGAGGCTTACTGAGTTCCATCTTGAGCCAAAAGCCAGTCTGGCCCTCTAGTTGCTTTTTTTCCACCAGAGGTAAGTGTGCCAGTCAGCATTCTGATACTGTAACAAGTCTCTGGGACAGTCAGCTTGGAGAGGCTCATCTTGGCTTGCGGTCGCAGAGGTCTCACTTTGCTGAGTCTGTGGCAGTGATCATGGCGGAGCACATAGCGGAGTCACACCCTCACCTCACAGCAGAGAAGTGGGAGATGGAGGAAGAGGCTGGGTGCCCAGGTCCCCCCCAGGGCACAGCCCAAGACCTCCCACCATGACCCAGCTCTTCAAGGTTCGGGAATCTCCCTTTAGTGTGCTCTGGGGCTAAGTGTTTAACATGCAGGAGCGTGTGTGTGTGTGTGTGTGTGTGTGTGTGTGTGTGTGTGTGTGTCTGTGCGCGCGCACCCCATATCCACACGAGCTCGGCTGGAATCCAGGCTGTGCGGCAGCGATGGCACAGCTGCCTTAGATGAGGCAGTGGCGGGGCCGAAAGTCCTGGGAGAGTGCCGTCGTCCGTTTATCATTAGTTAATGACTAGGAGTAGTCATTAGGTGGCTACTAAAGCGTTCAGAGTTTTAATTTTTATTTTCTTTCTTCGTGATCAAGCTTTGTTTTTATTGGCCTTCCAGGTCGGCGCACACCAAGGGCTGACAGGCCTGCGGCAGGGCTGCTCCCAGTGCTCCTCCCAGCTGGCCTTTCTCTGGCCACGCTCCAGCTGGGGCGGCAGGATGTCACAGGCAGGGGCCAGGGCTTTAGGTTTGGAGACCAGGTGGAGTCCTGGCTCGGGTATTTATGAGCTGCGCTGCCTTGGCCTCTCTGGGACATAGTTTCCTACTACGTAAAATGGGAACCTTAGGACCTGCATTGTAAAGTTATTCTAATTATATAATTATTAAATAGCACAAAACTTATGCTATTATAGAAACAATTATATATATACATATTTATTTTTTCCGGGGTCATCAATAGAAACATTTCAGTGTCCCTCTGCAAATGTAGAAACAAAATCCTAACACGGCACTTCGGGTGGTGATGGGAGAAGTTAGCGCATCCTCTCTGAACTCTTCCAGTCTTGCAGCTTAATCGGAAATCAGTATTGTTTCAGGGGAGGTTGGAGGGGAGAGGGTGGGTGCAGCCTCACCACACTGTTGACTCACATTGATCTTACAGTGAGCAAAGTCTTCCCCGTTCTTCTGTACCAGAACCGCTGCTAGTCCTCCTCTCCCCCCGTGCGCCTGTCCAGGTGAACGTCTCTATCTAAATGCTTGGCTTCTCACTCGTGCCTGTGACCCTGTTTTGTTGTTTGTGGATACAGTCATTTTCTCTGCCTGGCCTGTCTGAACCTTTTCCTTTACCCAACAGATCAGCTGGATGCGCGCTAGGTTGAGGAATTCACCCGCGACGCGAGCTGAGTAGACCGTCCATCTGTCACTCGGGACGCTGAAGGAGCCCAGTGGAGGCACCGACCTAGGACCAGAAGAGGTCGCCGTTTGGCTGCCATTGGCTGATCAATCAGTCTGTGCTCTTTGTTTGTTTAGCAAGCTCAGGATGATTTGGATTGTTCCAGTGTTCAACCTGTATAGCTTCATATCCTCCACTGGCATGCGGTAAAGCCTTTTCTGAGTGCTTTGTTGAAACTCATAGTTTATATCTGATCTACATTATTATAAGAATAAATAAATGAAAGTCATTTCTGTGTCTCTTAGTTGGGCAGAAGTCCAAAAGGCAGACACTTTCATTACTTGTGAATGATACTATTGCTGATAGTATTAACTTGTTATACACATGGTTACAATTGCTGACTAATAAAAGCTCTTCACTATAGGAAGCCCCAACTTCTGAACAAGTTCTGTTCTGGAAGAATGTTCATAAACTGGATTCATTCACAATCTGACAAAGTGAGTCTTATACAGTACACCTGTGAGAGTTCACAACTTCGATGTTCATAAATCAGGGAGGTACTGTAGTATATTTTAAAAATGCTGCATATATGAAAACATATATGACTTTACAGAAGTGGAGAGCATATTTATAATTATTTTAAACAGTTTTGTGTGGCCTTTGATTTTCTTTCCCCTGTTAGGTTGATTATACCCTTTTCTTTCAACTCTCCTATTCAAAGAAGCCCCCTTTGCTTCCCAAGGTATCCATGTTAATGACCTACCATGTATGTATCTCCATTTTTTAATGCTTCACACACAGTAATGTCGCTTGCAGGAGTGACATTCAGAATACATAGCATTCCAGACACACAGTGGTAACCAGTTAGGATGAACACAATTGAAACATCCAGTATGACTTTATCAGTATAGATGGGCCAAAAGCCAACCCTGTATACAACCTACATACCCATACACACAAATATGCTATAGAAGAGTCTATTTTCCCCCAAATGTAACAATGTAAAATTCCATTTAACCCTGCTATTTCCCTTCTGGGTATCCTCCTGAAAGAGTTAAAGACATCATACTCGGCACAGTGACACGCACATACCTGTGTTTGTAGCAGCATAAATCACAATAGCTAAATCTTGGAGGCAGGGTGCATGTCCATCGACCGATGAATAGAGGAAGAAAATATGGTATTTGCATACAAAGGAGTACTACTGTCCCATAAAGAAAAACTTCAATCATTTGTAAGAAAAGGGGTGCACCCTGAGACCGTGATGTTAAGTGGAATCAGTTGGACCCACGAGTTTAATCTTACATGGTTTCTTTTATAGAAGGAACCCAAAAATATAAATAAAGAGCAAAATAGAAGATGCGTAATAGGAACTATGGAGATAGAGCTTTCTCAGATGGGACGGAGATGGAGAGGTGGAGGGACGGGAGGGCGGGGGAGAGACGGGAGGAAAAAGGAATTAAGATGTGTTATGTAGATGCTCCAACCCCACGCAATGCCGTAGACATTATGTGCTGCCAGCACGGACTAATAAACACTAACAGTGCTGTGACTGTGTTATTGTGTTTTTGCACTGTTGTACTATTGTATTTTACCCAGAACATTTCACCCCTTAAATTCCAGCTGTGATGTGGCTCTCCTGCATATTTTGTAATTGTTGTACAAGCCACATCGATGGGCTACACGTATTGACATTTATTTAACAGCACCCTTCCATATTTCCCGCAGTACCAGTGTCTTTGTTACTGAGAACAGCGCTGTAGCCACCGTGACAGTACCGCGTGCGCCGCTGCTCTGACTCCGGGGCGCTGATCGGGGAATGGAGCAGGAGGACTGACTGACTGGTGAGAGGCAGATTTTGTTAGATGGCGCCAGGCAGCTTTTTAGACATCTGTGGAAACTGACACTTTCATCAACAAAATGCAGAGCTATCTTTCCCCCAGCATTCCACCCAGCAGTGAAGGCGAGGCTTTCAGATTTCTGCCACCCCAAATAGGTATAAAGGAATAATCTCATTGCCCCAACTGGTAGTGCACTTGAGCGCCCATTCCCGGGTAAGCTGCTGGGATCTTTTCTCTGTTGTGTCTGCGACCTTGTCAGCATAAGCCTTCTCCCATTTCTCCAGCTCCACGCATGCATGCGTCCTGAGCACAAGCGCCACTGCTTCTCCGAGCGTCCTGGGACCCACGAGGTGACGGGCAGCCCAGTAAAGGGTTAAAGTGATGCGGTCTTAGCAAAATTGGCTGAGTCTGAGATTGCCGTGGGGGTTGTTTTTATATGGAGCCTCTAGACCCAGCACAGGGGTTCTGAGTCCCTAAGTCCCACCGCACAGTGTAAATGAACCCTTAATCTAATATCTCTGGGGATGATCCATGCACAATCGAGTTAGGGTGTCCGGGAGTTGGACGAGTGTAGCTTGCTCGGTGATTGGACAGCCAGGTTGTGACAGTTTCACAAAGACGACTTCAGCAACCCCCCAGCTCGGCACAGGACAGCAAGAAGGGCTGCCCAGGAGTTGAAATCCTGTCCTTGGGCAGGGGCCTGATGCTTCCTTCGCCTGGAACCAGAGCTCGGAGGAAGTGCGGCTGCAGTGTGACAAATGGCCACAGGGCGGCAGGGCGGCCCCGTGTGGCTCGGTCTGCTCAGTGGGCTAGACGCTGATCCAGGCTGCGGCCCAGGCGAGCGCGAGGCGGCCGTGGATTCCGTCTTAGCAAAGAGCAAGCCACAGCTCAGCGGATTCCCGGGGATGGTAGAACCGAGATTTAGACCCAAACCTATCTGATGCCAAGCAGAGTGTTCTTCAGTGTCGACAGCTGCTACTTTATGCAGTGTTAGGGTTTGGATCAAAAACCTCCCCCATGTGGGGCCTGGCAGGCAGAAGGATTGGTGCGTGACCGGGAAGAGGGTATTCCCTGCCTGGACCCTTCCCCTGTCTCTGTGTGCTTCCTGGCCGCCGTGAGGTGGGAAGCTTTCCTCTGCCACTGCTTCTCCGTGATACTTGGCTTCCCCACAGGCCCAGGAACAACACAAGCAAATACCCAGGGACTGGTACCTCTGAAACCATAAGCCAAGCTGAGCCTTCCCTCCTCTAAGTTGTTCATCTGAGGTATTTTTGGTTTTTTTTCCGGTACCGGGAATCGAACTCAGGACCTCGCCCTTGCCAGGCAGGCGCTGTGCTGCTGAGCTAAATCCCCAGCCCCCTCATCTGAGGTATTTTGTCACACTGATGGAAAGCTGACACATACAGGTGTCCTAGTTGATTCTGAACGTAAGAATTAGTGCTAATTTGCGTGTTACTGTATTCCTGGGTTTCTCTCTTTCCTTTCTCCTGTCCTTAAAGAAATGAGCAAGACTTCATTAGCTAAAAGTGCCTCTGCAATTTTATAGGACACTGAAGAAAGAATGATTGGCCAGGGGTGACATAATGGCCATGGGCTTGCTGCCTGTGCCACACAGTCGGGCCAGTGGGTCACACTAGTGTGTGGACCACACACAGGATTTTATCGGGGTAGCAAGTTATTTTAAAATCTGCATTTCAAAAGCAGGCATGGTGGTGCACCCAGTAACCTCAGCACTCAGTTGGCTGAGGCAGGAGGACTGCTGTGAGTTCAAGGCCAGCCGGAAGTACACAGCGAGACCCTGTCTTCAAGAACAGAAAAAAAGTTTAAAAGCCTGCAAAACAAAGATATCTGCCCTTCAGTGTTTTCTGATGGTGCGGTAGATCTGCAGGGAGCTACAGGCCCCGCGGCCTGTTCTTTACCTCGCCTGCTTTGCTCGCCGAAGCAGCTGCCTGGTGTGTGAAGTGCTTGTCCCTACTGCTGCAAGATGAGGACAGCTTTGGGTCCCGTTTCCCTGGCTGTGCTTCGCTCCCAGGTGTCATCATCCCCACGCTGTGGCCGGCAGCCCTGACACCTGTGGTGGCTGCACCGGCCCCTCCGCTCTGCTGTGCTGTCCAGCACCCGGCCCGGCGGGTTTGTGGGGCTAAATTTAACCTGCAGCTGCTTGCACAGGGGCTCGGGAATTTCCAGGCCAGGAGGCGGGGGTGGCGGCGCTGGAAGCCGCTGAGGACCGTGGGCCAGGTGCGAACGCAGTGTCGGGGCTGAGATCAGCGTCCAGGTTGTCGCAGGTCCTGCCCGGCCCCCCCTTTTGTCTTCAGTGAAGTTGAGGAAAAGTGGGGAGGCGTGAATGGGCCAAGGGCCCGACAACGAAGCTGGCCCTGGGGACGCCGCGTGCGCCGTCGCTCTGCTCTTCCCTCGGGTGAGGGTCAGGGCTGGGACCCCTCCACGTCTGTGGGGGACGGGAGGCGCAGGCCTCTTGGCACAGACTTGCGCTGCCAGCTGGCCTCTCTCCTCACCTGCTGGCCCCCCGTCCAGGGGAGCGGCCAGCCTCGCCCTGACTGCAGCGTTCTCCCTGTGTCATCCACTGTCCTTTCGTGACCTGAGTGTCCGTGGACGCACCGGTGTTCCCGCGTCCTGGGCCCGCGGTCCCAGAAGGCTCCTGCGGTGTGCACTGGGCGCTCGCGGTCCCTCTGGCCGAGGGAGCAGGTGTGGGAGCATCTGTGGTCCTGGGGCCGAAGTGACGCGGGGCGGCCCGCCACGGAGGCCGTGCCCGCTGTGGTCGCCGATGCCCTCAGCCCTCCCGTGACTGCAGCTGGAGCAGGACTTCTCGCTCTCTGAAGCCCGCGGTGTCCAGGCCAGGAGGAGCCCCGGGCACTGCCACTGTTTGGCTCCACTCTCTGCAGAAGGGGCGGAGCCCTCGGTGGTGTTAGGCTCACGTCCGCGATCCCGGCCACCTCTCTGGTCCTCACTCTCTCCTCTCCTCACTCACCGTCAGTGGCCAACGGTCAGGACCCTGTCCCTGCCCTGGCCTGGCCGCTTTCCACGCCTTCACTCCCGGAGACTGAGCCCAGCCCGCGTGAGGCAAGCAGCACTGTCTCACTGTACAGATGAGGACACCGTGGCCGGGAAAGACGCGCAGCTGTGGGGCTGGGGTTCTGACCCGAGCTGCTCTCTGACCGTGCGCAGACTGGCTGTCCCGGAACGGGGCCGGGGGCTCACTTCCTGTCCAGCTCCTGCCCAGACTCTGAGCGATTGGATGGAAAGGGCTGCCTTTTAGTCGGCTTCGGATCTCAGAGTTTATCCCAGAGCTCAGGGCAGTACATCAAGCAAGTGATTATGGAATGAATGTCTCTATAAATGAAACAAGAAAAGTCCGCATTAAACCCTGTTCCTGACCCTGCAGTTTCTTGGTACAGATGCCCCTGAGGGTTCCTGAGGACAGGGGAGGCGCCACCGAGTCCCCACCTGGCTCGCCGAACCAGGCTCACACCTGGGCCGACTCTGGCAACTGAGCGCACTGGGCACCCAGCTGAGGCCTGCGCCCTGGCCGCGGTGTCACCCTGGCTTGGAGCCAGAGGCCGAGTGCAGCGGCGCCGCCTCTCTTTCCTGCATCCCCGCCGCCGTGTTCTCCAGACCCAGTCAGGGGGACAGCGCAGGTGCCAGCCGAGGAGGCCTTAGCGCGAGGAGGCAACTCGGGCCCATCGTGCACCGGGCTCAGAGTTGCAGCTGCGTGTGCTGGAGGTTGCTGCTGTCCGCGGGGGCTCTGAGCGGGGAGGGAGAGGCAAGAGAGCGCTTCAGAGTGGTCTAGAATCGAGGCCTGGGCTGAGTGTTCATAGTCTTCTGATGGTGCGGTCTTGAGTGTAGAACACACCGGCTGCCCATGGGAGAAGGGCGAGAGCTTGGCGTGCAGGCTGGAGGCGATTCCAGGGAGGAGACTTAGGAGCTGTCTGCAGCCTGCACCCAGAGAGGAGGTGTGGCGTCTCAGAGAGGGGTGGGGAAGGCACCACGGCCTCCGCTGCTGCGCACACGTACCCTGGACAGGTGCAGGCAGGAGAATCAGGGGAAATAGACAGAGCGGTCCAGGAAGTGGGCGCAGGCACGGCCCAGCAGCTGCAGCAGCCACACCTGGGAACTCGTCACAGACACACTTTCCCAGCCTCCCAGACCTGCTGACCCCGCCTCGGCTCTCAGCTCATTGTGACGCAAGCCAAGTTTTGAGAACCACCCTTCCCACCACCCCATCACGAAAGGACACTGGATGACACAGGGAGAAAGCTGGAGTCAGGGCGAGGCTGGCTGCAGAAGGGTCCAGCCTCCTCCTTCCACTAGAGAAGGGAACCAATCACAAGATGTGTTTCTTGTCCAGGACTTGTCGCATCTGTTGGCCACCAGCGATCAGCAAAATAACGACAGTAAACTAGCACCCTTCCATTTTTTTCCAGATAAGAATATACTAAGATAAGTGATGGGTTAAATCACAAATCATAATTCACCCCAAAGACTCTCAGTAATTTATGCAGTAATTTCAAAGCAACAGTTAGCCTCGGGAATTAAACATGAAAATCATCTCAGTCTTCCACATAACTATGCCCTCCATGCAAGCAGGGATCTGAAGAATCACCAAGTAGAGCAGCACGCCGGTGAAAACAGTGATAATTTAGATTGACTAATAATTTAAAAGTCGGCATAGGTCCCTCATGGACCATTGTTTATGTAAAGTCATGGTACTAAGTACTGTATCCCAAGTGTTAGCTCCTATGCAAGACAAATGATTAATTTATTAAAATTTTAATTTTCTGGATCAGGGAAGTTTGTACATAGTGGATTTCTTTTTTCGTTCCAATTAGCATGCTCTTGTATCTTCCCTTTATTTGCATTTGCCTGGGATGCCCTGCTTACCCCTTTTATTTTCAACTTTTCTTTATCATTTGTTTTATGTCTGCTTTTTTTTATGGTAGTATATATTCTATAACTGGATTCATTTGAAGCCAACCTGATGTTCTCTA